CCCCCCCCCAAAGCCTCCCCAGTCCAACCTCCTGCTTGAACAACCCCCAAAATCACACCCTCCGGACACACCCCCGCCCCAGCAGTCCTTTTATTTCAAAAAGGGCTTTTTTTTAACCATTTCTCGCTTAAATAAAAATAAAAAGCTCTAAATGTGTGGTTCAGGTGCCTCAGAACTGCATGGCTGCCTCCAGCGTCTCCGAGAGCTTCGTGGCGATTTTCTCTGCGGGATTCAGGGGGGGGATCAGCAATTTTGGGGGGGGGTTTGAGGGGTGAGGAAAAGGGGGCGTCTTCACCCACCTGCTCTTTTTTGCAGCTTTTTCCTCCTTTTCCCGGCCGCCCTCAGCCCCTGGCCCTGGAGCAGGGGGGGCAGAGCTGCCACCTCCTCCAAACTGGGGGCGCGGGGCACCAAGTCCCCCCCAGAGCCCCCCGACTTCACCCGGGGCTTCAGCTCCACTGTCACCGCGCCGAGCTGGGGAGGGGGGAGAGTGTCAAAATTAACCCATCACCCCCCAAAAAAACCCCCCTCACCTCTGAGAACTCCTTCCCACCTCCAGGTCCTTCCTGCTGTCGTCCTCCATGGCTGCTGCTTCCTCCTGCTCCTCCTCCTCCTCGGGGGCACACGGGGACAGCCCCAGCCCTGTCACCGTCACTGGCACAGCTGGGGGAGGGGGGGAAGGTGAGTTTTTTGGGGGGTCTCTGAGGGGTTCACAGGGACAGGGTGGGGGTCGTCGCTCACCTGCCAGAGCCTCGGCGTCCCCCCGTTCCAGAGCGTCCAGGTCCAGCTCCGGCCCCAGCGCCGGCAGGATTTGGGCCTCCAGCTGCACCCCCTGGGCCTGGGGGGGGTGGGTGTAGTAGGAGATCTTCCCACTGCGCCACAGGGGGGGTCGGGGACCCCAAAAAAAGAGGTCACAGGGTGCAAGAGACACCTCCCAAAACAGGGGTCAGGGTGTGGGGAGACCCCCCCCCAAAGGCCTTGAAAATGGGGGTCAGGGAGTGGGGCAGCCCCCCCCGGTGCCCCCCGGCCCTCGCCCACCTGGTCCAGTCGCGCAGCAGGGCCACGGCGGCGGCGTGGGGGTCCGGGAGCCCCCCGGGGCGGAGGCGGCCCTGCCTCCGGGCCAGGTGGGACAGGAACTGCAGGGGGTCCGCGCAGGGGGGGACCCCGTAGAGCTCACTCAGCTGGGGGGGGGACACGGGGAGTCGGGAGGGGGCACACAGGGGGTCTCATCACCCCCCAACCCGAAATGGGGTGAAAATGCCCCCCCTAAAA